ACTTCTGAGCAGTTATTGTAGCCTTCTGCCATTTGCGGAGTGTCAACTTTCAGTCAAGTGCTGCACAAGACTCCCTGAGGTGGGTGCAGTTCCCATTTTACTCACATGGAAGTCAAGGTTTGGGTCAGTCAGGCCAGGTTACACAGAAGGTAAGTGCCAGCCAGGCTGCGGAGCCGGGGTGCCCCTCCTCACAGCACCACAGTGCTCAGCCAGGGTGAGATGCACTAGAGAACTGGGGCGTAGAGGGCAGCTCAGACTGAAAGTGGTGGCTCTGCCGGGGCGTGGTGGCTCACTCCTGTAATCCCAGCACTTTGGGAGGCTGAGGCGGGCAGATCACGAGATCAGGAGATTGAGACCATCCTGGCTAACATGGTGAAATCTCGTCTCTACTAAAAATACAAAAAATTAGCCGGGCGTGGGGGCAGGCACTGTAGTCCCAGCTACTCGGGAGGCTGAGGCAGGAGAATCGCTTGAACCCGGGAGGCAGAGGTTGCAGTGAGCCAAGATTGCCCACTGCACTCCAGTTGGGCAGCAGAGCAAGACTCCAGAGAGAGAGAAAGAGAGAGGGAGAAAGAGGAGAAGGAGGAGGAAGAGGAGGAGGAGGAGGAGAAGGAAGGAAGGAAGGAAGGAAGGAAGGAAGGAAGGAAGGAAGGAAGGAAGGAAGGAAAGAAAGAAGGAAGGAAGGAAGGAAAGCAAAGAGGTGTCTGCTGTGCTTTCTCCCCACTAGGGACCCTCTAACCAATTCAATCCCCCACCCCAGGGGAATTGAGCCTCAAGAGCTCAGCCTGGAGCCACCAGGACTGGGCAGCTACCCTTCAGCCAGAGACAGTCCTCTGCACTATTTATTAATCATTCATTCAACATACTTTCTGAGCCGTGCTGTATGGCAAGTACTGCACTCAGCACTGGGGAGACAGTGGCCAGGGACTTGCATTCTAGGAAGAAGACACACAATAATAAACCAAGTCCATTCACAAATGTGGGAGATAATGTCAGATCACAGTAGATGCTACAGAGAAACAGGAAGGTGTGACAGGGGTTGCCAGGGTGGTGAAGGAAGGCCTCAGGGAGGAAGTGACACCCAGCACTAGGGTTGAGGAAGAAAGACTTTTCTTCACCGCCATGACACTGCCCCCCTTCATTGTGCGGAGCCTGGGGCCTGAGCCCCAGAATGGGGACGCTGCTTCCTGGAGGACTGAGTGAGAGAAGCAAAAGGGAGGGAGAAAGGGGCAGCCAGCAGTGCGTTTGCCAGAGGTGGAGGTGCAAGATTTGAAGAAATTATTGTAGGCTTCCACCATCTGCAGAGCTGGCAACTTCCAGCTAAGTGGTGCACATGACTCGCTGAGCTGGGTGTAGTCCCCTGGGTCTCCCAGTACATAGTGAAATAACTGGGCATGCAGAAACTGCCTGGTGTGCTAAGGGACCTGACGGGATGCAGGCAACAAGCCAGGGAGACCCTCGGCTACAGGAGAAATAACGCCCCTGGAGAGCATGGTCAGGCCCAGACACAGGCTCCGGCACTCTCCCCGCGGCAGGAAAGCGGGAAGGATGCCCTACATCTTTGCTCAGGAACCAGATGGGAGTGGCTCGGCTTTCAGCTCTGGAAAGATCAACAGAGGAACAAATGATTGAACACACACAGAAATAGCCAGCTCCTCTTATCAGTGCGCTCCCCGGAATGTTTTGGAAGGAGAGGGATTCCGTGGAGGTTTGCAGGAGGGCTTCAGGTCGTACACTCAAATGACTTGCCTGGAATGTTACCCCAAAGGTACGTTCTCACGTGCTGGCACGCGCTTATTCTTCCCGGATCCATCTATAAGATTAAACGCAGAGGACTAAAGGCCCTTGTTCCAAGGATAAAGGGTGTCAGTGAGTCAGCAGAGATTCTGGCTTAGGGCATTAAATCCTGGGGTTTGAATATCCAGGTGGTCAGGGACAAGTTGAATAGTGAGGCAGTAATTAAACAGGTAATACAGGATCAGAATAGTTGGGTGGTAAGAGGCAGGATGATGCTCAAAAAACGCTTCTTGAAATATAACAAATTTTTGCATTGGTTGCACCTGGTTCAGAGGTTCTAGGAATAGTGTATAATTGCAACTGGACCTGTCCTGGAGTTGTCCTTCCCATCCAACGCTCCCCACCACAACTTGCCTCTCATAGTCCTTCCCTCATTTTTTAGGCAGGAATGAGGGTGGAGGAAGAAGTGGGGGTATTGCCATCACCTTCTTGGTGCCTGCAGGCAGCTGCTGGGTACAGGAGACTGGAGTAGGCTGCTGGCTTGGAACTCCTTGACAAAAAATGCATCTCTAAGCCCCTGGGAACCATGGGATGCTTTCATTCATTCACTCAACAAGCATTTTATGAGTGCTTATGTCTTGCAGTGGGCAAGACAGACCTGGCCTCTGCTGGGAGAAAACTCTCTGTTCTCAAGGCACTGGTGCAGGAAGGGCCAGCACGCTGTTAATTCTGCTGCTAGATTCTTGAAGAGGGGGTGGGTGGGCGACCAGTTGTCCTTGACTAAGGGAAACCAAAGAAAGAGTCTCAGAACTTGGTACCGCACTGAGCAGTTGGAATAAATTGAGGAGATAGAATCTTACAGCCCCAGGTTTAATCTTTTATTCCACAAATATTTGCGGGGTGCCGGGCACATAGGAGGCTGACCTGGGGCGACTAGTGGGGTTGAGATACACACATAGCCAGGCAACCAGACAACCGCAAGACCTGGGATAGAGATGAGACAAATGGAAGCGTCAACCTGAACTAGGAGAGATGGGAAGACTTCTTAGAGGAAGATGCTCTAGGCTGAATTCCATTGGCCAGACAAAAGTGCAGGAGTGAGGTTGGGGAATTCCAGGTAGAGGGAACCACCTAGGCTACAGTGCAGGGGCTAGAGAACTGGGCAGGTTCTAGGAGCTTGAAGAAACTGCCGGACAGGGGCATTTAGAATGATGGCAGGAGCACTCAGCGTTTTGCTCCCCAACTTTGGAAAATTATTTTGGTTCTCAGTCTACCCAAATGCAAAATGGGTATGATAAACTTGTATTGCCAGATTGTTGGCACAACAAGAACTCAATAAATAAAGGACCCTCACGTGGCTTTGTTCTGCCCCAGTGAGGCGCGGTTCCCGTTGGGCGTGGAGTGGGGGGCGGCTGGAGCCTGCGGGCTCCTGGCTTGGTTTGCGGAATATCTTTATTAACGAGCACTTCAAGGTAAGCCGGCGATGGAAACCAGATGTGGGAGCACGCGGTCGGCGGCGGAGCAACGACCAGAGATACCAAGGGAGTAGGGTGGGGTAAGAATTAGCCCAGATGAGGTTGAGAGCAGAAGCGCGACCCCCCAGATTTTTTTTTCTCTGGGAGACCTTAGATGCAGAAAGTTGACATCTGACCCACATTCCTGGATTCTGGGTGCTCAGGCCCTCTTTAATTTTACCCTGCACTTTCACCTCTCACCCCACTCCCAGACTCCCTCGAGGTACGTTCTCGCTTCACGATTTTTTCTGGGCTGCTCTCGCTGGTCTCCTTCAACTTGAACCATTCCACAGCCAGGGGGCCAGTTTCCTCTCTGCGTCTTCGAGGTCCGCACGACCTTCCAGGTCGGTGGAGGGACTAGCCTGAGCAGAGGTTCCAGGGTGCGGCTGCTACTTCCTGGCTGTGTGACCTCGGCCAGGTGGCCGCCCCTCTCTGAGCCTCCGTTAGCTCCTCAGAAAATTGGGAGCCCCAATCTCCAGCATGGTTGTCATGAAGCGAAATCGAAGATTCGTCACATAGAAGGGCTCCGCGCGCAAAGTTCTTTTCCCTTGCTGTGGCGGTGCCAGGGGCCTCGAGGCTCGTGTTGGTGGGGAAATCACAACCTATCAAAACCAAGCAGTTCATTTTACAGTCGGGGGGCAGTGAGGCCAGAGAGAGAAGAGTCGGCCTCACCCTCTCCCCTACCCGCGACCCCAAGGAGAGATCCTGTGCCAGCGCGACCATCGGTGGAGGCCGCAGGTCTCCAGACTCCGCGCTTATACTTTGCCGGGCAGGAAATCCCCTCCGGTGGGCGCAGACGGGGGACGTGCGTGGTGCGGCCTCTGGAAGGTAGCACATGGGGCAGAGTTCTAAAGCATCTGAAGCTGGGCCCAGCCCAGGGCTTCCCTCGGGCTTGAGGAGCACGGATCCCGCCGCATCCCAGCCCAGCACCCTTACAGCGGAGGGCAGTAGTTAACAAGGCGAGAAAGTTGACCGTGTACCGGACGACGAAGGCTCGTGCGTGTGGTAATATCCCGAAGGAACGGGAATGGGGAGGAGGACTGGAAACCCAGGAAAAGGTGCCCGCGGGAAGGCCCGCAGCAGCGCCCGCGAGTTAGAGCGCAGGAGTCCAGAGGACTCGCTTCCATCCGCAGGCCCGTGGTCCCTCTGACTTCGACTGTCAAAACCTGTTAGGTTCATTGGGGGAGAGGGCTTTTTTTTTAAACCTGTCATTAAAATTTGCATTTCCCCTCTGCCTTAAGCCAAAGCTCCGACACCCCGCCAATTCGCAGCCTAGCCTCGGGTGCCCTGGGGGTCCTGGCACCTCCCCAGCCCCGCCTAGAAGCGGACAAGCTCTCGGGCGCCTCTGGGTTGAATCCCCGCTAGCGAGTAGTAGCGTCTCCTTAAGAGTGGAGAGGAGGGGGCAGGGGCCAGTGGAAGGAGAGAGGAGGAGGGGACGAGAGAGGGGAAAAGGAAGAAGCAAGTCAGGGAAAAAAAATTACTTTTTTTTTTCCGCTTCAAAACCTTAAGAGGGTTTGGGAGATCTGGTCAACTTTTCGAAACATCTGAATCTTTTTACTGCCCTCCGTTCTTTCCCTAGGCTAGCTGTGAGGAGGGAGGAAGGGGGGGGGAGAGAGAGAGAGAGAGAGAGAGAGAGAGAGAGAGAGAGAGAGAGAGAAAAGGGGAGGGGGGAGAAAGAGAGGGAGGGGGGAAGAGAGAGAAAGAAGAGGGGAGAGGGAGAGGCAGGCTTGGAGGGGAGGAGGGAGAGCGAGCAGGCCCGGCGCGGAGAGCACAGCCACCTCCTCCTCGCCTCCCCAAACTCCCAGCCCAGGCGCGCGGTGGCGTCCTCGCGCCCTCGCTCGCGCCCCCGCCCGCCGGCCGCGCAAGCCAGGCATGAATGCTGAGACTTGCGTCTCTTACTGCGAGTCGCCGGCCGCTGCCATGGACGCCTACTACAGCCCAGTGTCGCAGAGTCGGGAGGGCTCTTCGCCTTTTAGGGCATTTCCCGGAGGCGACAAGTTCGGCACAACTTTCCTGTCGGCCGCTGCCAAAGGACAGGGATTTGGGGAGGCCAAGAGCCGGGCCCGTTACGGCGCAGGGCAGCAGGACCTGGCGGCACCCCTGGAGGGTGGTGCCGGGGCGCGGGGCCCCTTTACCAAGTTCCAGCCCCAGCCGTCGACCCCGCAGCCCCAGCCGCCGCCGCAGCCGCAGCCGTCCACGCAACCGCATCTTTACTTGCAGCGAGGCGCCTGCAAGACGCCCCCGGACGGCAGCCTCAAACTCCAGGAAGGTAGCAGCGGCCACAACGCGGCCTTGCAGGTTCCCTGCTACGGTGAGTGCACGTTCGGGTCACCCGGGGCTGGGGACGGCGGGGTGCTTGGCTTCCGCACCCCTTGAAACTGGAGGATTGCGGGAGGCTCGAGTTGGCGGGCCGGGGGTGGGGTGAGGACAGCCGTGGGTGACTCCGGTCAGAAAACGGGATCGATCGCTGCGAGGGAGCCAAGGGATCTGTTCTGCCTCCTTCATGCCCGCCGGCCCAGGCGCAGAGCGTTTTGGCTGTTAAACTCGACCTGGAGTTGGTTTTTCCCGGTCCCTTCGGCATTTCCTCAAACCGCTGGCTTTGCGCTGCCGGCTAGGCGGAATTTGAAGCGGATGCTTCCGATCGGCCCAGGGCGTGCGGCGGGAAGGAGTCTCCGCGCAACGCTCGGGCGCCGGGCCGCGGGGCTGCGGAGGCCTAGCTCCTCTCCGGCTGGGAGGCTCCTCCGGAGGCACCTCCGCAGGTGAAAGCGCCGCAGGTGCGGAGCCCAGCGGGAAGCCCTGAGCGCCGCTGGCCGAACGCTCACGGGAAATCCGGGAGCACCGGCGCGACACAGTGCAGAGCCGGAGATCCTGGGGTCCCAGGAGACACTGGGGTCTGGCAAGACCCGAGTCCTGGGACGCAGAGCGCTACTGGCGGTGGGATGCGGGCAGGCCAGAGTTCTCCTGGCGCTTCTCTCTCGGCGATTCTTGGAGGCGGTAGGCCTCTGAACAATGATTTAGGATGGAATAGAAGGGGAGACAGGAAGCCGCTGAGGCCCAGGTGACCCAGGGCTGTGGCAAGAGAGAAGGATCTGGGTCCTGATTTGAGCCCACGGGGAACCTGAGGGAGCTGGCCTAAATGACCTCCAAGCCCCCTTGAACCGAGACACAGGAGGCAGGGCTGGCCCCCAGAGCACCGCCACCGACTCCTCGAGAGAGCCACTCAAGGACGGAATCTAGCCAGAGCAGCTCAGTAGCCTAGGCCTTCTCTTCTTCCACAGAATCGGGGTTCCTGAGCCTCAGAGAGGAAGGGGGAGGAACCACGCAGAAAGAGAAAAACCTTCTCTGGGCGGGACCCCTAAGCACAGACTCTCCCTGAGGCCTTGGCCTTCAGGCCTGGCCCTGGCGAGGTGAGTTGGGGGCAGGGAATTTGCCCTGATCCAGGCTGATGGAGAGGCAATAGGCCTGGGGACAGAGGCTGGGACGTGGTGGAGGCCTTGGTGGCTGGAATAATCCTGGGAAACAGCCGATGGCAGATTTTCTCGTATTCAGGTTCGTTCTTTCACAGGCGCAGAACAGTTCGTAGATGGGTGCTGACAAACATTCACACTCATACACTTGTCTACAATGCATTCTACACACACACACACACACACACACACACACCACAGAGGGTCTTCTTTGGGAGCCCATGTGGTCATATCCCAAGAACACATCCCCATGTGGCCTCAACGAGCTACATACTCCCAAACCCATAGGACAAGACTGAGAGCAGATTTAGAAAAATTCAGTGGCCCTTCCCCACTTCCTCCACCTTTCTTCTTCACCTCCATTTGGAATGAGATCAGACACTCAGATCACAGACCCCCGAAGCTCCACACACAGACACACAGGCAGCTCCCATACAGGTGCTCCTTCTGTGCTTGGTGGACAGAGAGTCTCAGCCCTGTCCATACAGGCCGGCCTTCCCAGCCCAGGAGTGCGGGACCCAGCCTGTCCCTGTCATTCGGGACTATTAGGTGAGAGCAGGTCACAGACTGGAGGTTCATCCTGCATAGCCAGGGCCTCATGCTTTCTCTCCCACTGCATTGGATTTTCATAGTTTAAATAAAATTACCAGTGAGACCTCTGAAGAGGCTGGGAGCAGCTGAAGCAGCTCCCCACCTCTTGGTTAGATGCCTTCAGGTCCAGAGGGAAGGAGGAGAGGGCTGGCCTCCCCTGAGCCCTCTCTCTGTGCCCTGCTGGGTCACCACAGCCAGCCTGGCCTTCCTCTACTTGCACTAGCCTTTGGAGCGGAGGGAAAGGGCCAGCCATTGGACCTGGGACTGCCCCTAACCTATGGCAGTGTGACCTGACAGCAAGCACCTTCCCAAACCCTGGTTTCCTCATCTGCATCCTGGGGTGATAATAGAAAGGCCTTACTGAGTCGTAAATGTGCCTCTGCAGAGACAGCAAGAGGCAAGAGCCCCCCTCCCCAACCCATTTACAGCCCTATCCAACTCCGTGCTGCTGGGAACTTGAGAGCACCCAATTCTGAGGACAGGGCAAGCTCCTGCCACTGCTCTGGGTCATAAACTGCAAGCTGGGACCAAAGGCAGCCTCTAACCACCCGCAGGACCCCACTCCATGCCACCTAAGATGGAGGCACTGCTGGGGCAAAGCCGCAGACAATAAACAAGTCACTGTTCGCTCCTTTCCCTCTCTCAGTAGCTGTGTCTTCCTGGCCCAGAGAGGTCTGATTCTTCTAGGAAAAGGATTAGGCTCATTAGGTCTAAGATGGAGAAACTGAGGCTCCAAAAGCTGAGGCTCTGCCCTCTACAGAGGTAGCCAGGGGAGGAGGGCCTCTGGAGTGGGATTCCCACACTGCCAGCAAGCCGGGAAACTGAGGCATGCATTGACAAGGATTCTCCCCACCGTTGTGAGAGTGTACACTAAAAGGGGGAGAAACAAAGTTCAAGGAAAAATCCGTAGACGTTTTCAAGAGCTTGGAGAAAGTCCGAGGCAGGGGTGGCCTTGGTGCCAGTACCAGCACTGGCTGATCTCTGACTTCAGGCAGGCAGCGGAGACTTGGCAACCATTCCCAGCCCTGGGGGTCCAGGGCAAAAGTTAAGCTGTTCTTTCGCGTGTGTAACTACACCTAACAAAAGGGAGAAGCTCAGAGGCCTCCTCCCGGGCCTCAGCTTCGGGGGCCACTCCCGGCAGAATCCAATTGCCCCTCCGCAAGGAAGGTGCTCCCAGCCGCTGCGCCAGGGCCAAGCCGAGGGAGTGCGGGGCGGGGACGCCGCTTCAGTCTCTTGCTGCCCGGGTCTGGTCCGGGTTGCAGGAAGAGTTGATGAGAGAAAGCCTCCCGGGTTGCAGACGTCCCTATCCCAACTTGGGCCTTCCTTTCCCCAAATGTGCTAAAAGAAAGACGATTAAGGTGGCTCCGCAGTGTCCTTTGGGTGCGGTAACCGCATTTTTACGAAAGAGCCCCCACCGAGCCCTCTTCTGCGGCAACCCAGACCTCCCTAGTCTCGCCCCAGACTCAGTCCGCTCTTTGGCCTCCGAAATTCCCTGCCCAAGCCCAAGGTGGGCCGCCGGGCCCCAGGTGACGTGTCAGGTTGGAAACCCGAAGTTTCTCAGCGATGCAAAGAGTTTCCTTGTACTAAGGAAAGGGACTCCGGCGTCTCGCCCCCAAACTCCAGATCCGACCCCGGGAGCCGCAGCCTGCGCTTGTCAATCCTTGGCTCCGCGTCCCTGGACGCGGGTCCACTGCGGGAAGCTGCCCTGCTCCCCGCTTCCCTTTCGCTTTCGATTCGTTGCAGGCAGGTTTTTGTTGAAAGCAGATTGCTACCTCTCTGGTCCACGCACCCCGGAAAGCAGCGCTCTCTGCGCCAAGGTCTGGGGAGGGGCGGGCCAGGCTGGAGTCCCTGGGGTGCCGCTTAGAGGCCCAGTCCCGGTTTTTCAAATTAGACTCAATGTTTAAATACTAGGAGGCATTTATTTTCCCTGCACCGACACAATCCATGCGCCACGAAATGTGTAAATTCTGCCGGGGTTGTATTTGAATTTAGTCAGAGAACTGGGGTATGGTTTTTTTTTTTTTTTTTTTTTTTTGCTAATTTTTTTTTTTTTTTTTTTTTTTTTTTTTTTTTTTTTTTTTCTTTTTTTTTTTTTTTTTTTTTTTTTTTTTTTTTATGTGAGAGACAACCCAAAGAAGACAGAAACTAAAACTCAGCAAAAGCAGCAAATGCCCGTGGGTGACTGTGGGGTGATCGGAGGAAAAATCGAGCCTGGGACTGAAGCCTGCTCGAGAAGGGGAGACTGTTGTTTAATTTTGGAGGGAGGAATGGCGAAGGAAGATGCTTTCCATTTTTTAATTTGTTAATTCCCATAGCCAACAGCCTGCTTCACCAGCCTGGTCCAAACACATACGTTCTTAAATAGAAAAACAGAGGGCCTGGATTAAAAATCAGTATTTTAAGTCAGTCGACTTGCGCAATTTTTCTTTGTTACAATTTACGTATAGCGAAGTGCTTAGCTCTGAGGAGGAAAGTTGGAAGAATTGTTACGTGTGTGTACACTGTTTGGAAGACCATCTGGATAAAGAAACAAACCAGTCCCTTGTTTCTTTAAAGGCTGTAAAACGTTAAAGCAAAAACATTTTTTGTAAGTTGTTTTAAGAAAATTTCAGAAGAGACTTTGGATCACCGGCGACCCCATTTTATTCGTGACAGCAGTCCTTCTTGTGTAGAGTGACAGTGTAGCTTGGGCATTTGCGCGGTCGGGACTCTAATGCGAAGTTCCAAGTGGCTGCGCCGGAAACCTCGCCGCGACCGCCGAGCTAAGCCGGAGTCACCGAACCCCCCGAGCAGCGCGCAGTGCTATACCGGCCCTCAGTAGGAAAACAAAACGCCCTACAGAAAATCTCGCGGAAGTCTTGGAGGGCCGCCCACCCCCAGGACACTGTTTTCGAAGATCATCTGGGTGCACTTTCTCTAGGAAGTCCCTTCTTCTCGGTCTCGGCCCCCTTCTCTCTGCCCGCAGCCGGCGCGTAGCTTTGTTTTGGTGGCAAACTGAAATATGAAATGGAAATATATTGGCCTTTGCAGCTGCCAGGCATGAGAGGTGGTTGACGACTAGCGCGTTTGTCTGGGCTTCGGACTTCTCTGCAGACCCCTCGACTGGGGTGCCCGAGGCCAGGAGAGGAGGAGGAGAATTGCCAGGAGCCCCGGAGGCTCCGCGAATTTGGGATGACGCTGGAGGGCCGCGCTGCTCTGGCGCGCCTCTCGCCGCGAGGATAGGCGAGGTGTGTGGGTATGGGAGTGTGTGCTG